CAGTCAAGTTTTAAAACAGAAGTTCATCAGGATCTGTATATAGTGCTCAGATTTCCAACCACCCTGACAGAGAACTGGACAAGGTTGTAATATGTAGTGCAGAGCCTGGGAGTTTAAAAAAATCCCAAATGAAGAAAACATAACAGCAAATAAATGCATTAATAAATAGATTATGTACCTAAACCAGATAGGCTTGTGTCCATCAATATAGCATAAAGACCATTACAGTGCAAAATGTTTTCAGATTCCTAATAAATTCAATATGCAACTATTTTTGACTTCTGTGCTATCAAGATCAGATGGCATTTTCAACAACATAAAATTAAGCCTGAATAAAGGAATCCTGAGATGAGACTATTTAGCCTGTGATTTCTAGGATCACATGACCTGGTCTAATAATTTCTTCTGTTCTAAATCTAAAAGTGTCACATCTTTAGGTATAATACATTCTGTTTTGACTCATGGTTTGTTTCTTTATGCCTTTAAATCTTAATATTTAATGTATTTTATTAGCATTATGTGTATTTATTATTGTTATTTTTCAGTCGTATCCAGTGAATACACAAATAGCGGTGGGCACAAATTGAAGCACAAGAAATTCCATTTGCTCATAAGAAAAAACATTTTTTACAGTGAGTGTATTCAAACACTGTAAGAAGTTACCCAGAGAGACTGTTCAAACCCCATCTGGTTATGCCTCTGAGCAACCTGGTCTAGTTGTCCTTGCCTTGAGTAGTAGGCTTGTACTTTATGGTCTCTAGAGATGCTTTCAATGTTTAGTTGATACTAATAGTACTATTATGGGAGATTTGTAATTATAGATCTGTGTGGAATTAATGGCAAGAAAGGTGGAAAATAATGAAAATGCAATTTCATGTTAGACTTCAGAAATACTCTTTATTGCAGTACTCACAATAGGTCACTCTGAATTTGAATGCTTTTTGAAATTATTCATTTATGAGGCCAAGTTTGGAGGAAGGTGTGGGGTGGGGGGGTTTGTACTCAGATGAGAAACATCTCCCCTGCATTGATGTAGCAAGAAATCAAATTCCAAAAGTAATTAGGGAGGGTTACACAACAAAAATGTGGTATGGACTTGCATCAAAAAATGCAGTAGAACAAAGGAGACAGGAAGGACGTAGTCTAGAGCAAGTATGATCCTGGCACTGCGGGTATCTGGATATTATGAGCAAGTGATCTTTCTCAAGATAGATTCCCAGACTAATTAGTCTTGTTTCCACCATTTGTACCTGAGGTCAACATTTCTAATTTTCAAGAATGCTCCATTTTGGGAAGGATGGCAGAGTGTAAGAGTATATATGCAACCCTGATGGGCCGCCAGTCGGAAGTGGCTGCAGTGTCTGAGCGCCTGTCAGTTCCTGTCGTGCTCCTCCATCACAGCTCTTGGCTGTCTGTTCATGGCTGTCGAAGAGTCAAACGTTTCCTGCTTGGCAGACGCATGGAAAGGAAGTCCCATCTGCTTCCTGGTGCTGGAGGTGGCATGGAGAGCCAATAAAAGCAATTGTACAAAGTGAGACAGGATTTGGTGACCTCTCAGAGTGAAGCTTTGTGTCATCCTGCTGGAAGGCAATCGTTGTTCCTGTGTATAATTAATTGCATGACTAAAACCATATCCATGGTCCCCAAACAAAGCAGATTAGAGGGTTTAAATATTTAGGTATTCCTGAGTCTTGTTTCCGTTTTCTTTCGTAAATGTATCTTATGATGTATTACTGGACTTGGATCAGTCAGAGTTTTATCACTTGCATATTACCTCAGGGAAAAAAAAAAAAGGATTTTACTGATTGTTTAAGGTAATTTAATGCTTATGTAAAGTGCCAGACAACTTGATAGCCTTAAAGCCTTCCTCTTCTGGAATGATTATCCTCTGAATTATGTACAGTTCCTTCAGATGCTGCTTGAAACCAGTTTCCTGCATCTTAAATCTGTCTCTTTATTTTCTGACCAGTCTTGGACCCTATATTGATTGGTGTAAGTCTTAATAACACTGCATCTTGACTTACTTTTAAAGAGCAGTAGAAGTAGATTGATTTTTGGCAGTCTTAAAGTAGATAATTTACTATATTGCTCTTCATTTCTTGTTAACTTCATTCTTTTTAAAAGCTAGGGATTTGGGCTTGGGATCTTTTGTTTGGTTTGAGGTTTTTAATTTGGTTTGGTTTGGGGTTTTTTTTTAATTTCTTTGTTTGTTTGGTTTGGTTTGGTTTTTTGTTGTTTTTCTCTTCTTTCAGTAGTCTTCTTCTGGTATGCATTTGAAGATGATTTTTACCATTATCTTTGATTTCACTATTATTCTTCACATCAGTACAGTCAACAAAGCATACAGAAAATGCTACCAATGTCAAGTAACCTTATGCTTACTTTAGGGAGTTCACTTTAGCTTTTCCCAGGGAAAAAATGAAACAGATAAGTTGGCACTGTGAATAGTTTTTAAGCTAGAAATTTTATTGTTTAACATTTTTGCTCTCTTTCTCATAAAAAACAGGTCACAGACAAAACCATGGCAATTAGCCTTTTAAAATCTACATCACACAAACACTTTCATAGCCATTAATTTTCTGTTACAAGCGCTTTATCTGAGTGTAGTGTCTATTTTATTTGGTTACATTTTATCTGACACAGATGTTTTGCTCTGCAGTATTTAACAATATAAGACTTAAACAGTGGGGAAGAAATATGGATTTGAATTGCAGCGTTCTGTATTTCTGCAAATACTGGCAGCAGGGTGACTTGGAAGAAAAGAAAACCTAGAAACATCTACCAATAGGGCATAGGTGATGATGAGCAGTATTCAAACACAATATAATTGCTACACCTTAGTGAGGTCTTGAAGTGGAAGACATGGTGCAATACGACTTAACCCTTCAGTTTGCACTGTGGTACAATGTTCTTCAAGAACATGTTCTCCATGATATATTTGGAGGTAAGGGATGTCAATAAAAGAAGAATGGAATCTATGTTCTTCTGGAATTCCAGCAGCCACTTTACCAACAACATTTAATAATAGCAAAATACTCAGTGGCATCATGCTTTTTTGGAATCAGTCTTGTGAAAGGTTGAAATAATACTGCCCATCATTTGATGAAGCTGATACCAAACATGTCCAGCAACAGTTTCTGAAACTATGTGTGGGGAGGTATAATCATGGCCAAATTGCTTGTCAGAACTCCTTCAGAGTCCAAAAACTGATCTTCCTGATATACGATGAGAAGAAAGAAACTATAAAAAATAGTAGAAAGAAAGACAATAGAAATAGTAGTAACAGTAGAAAGAAAGATAGTACTTAAAGATACTTCTGGGAGCAGAAACAGTGATTGACATTGGGCTGACTTATAGGCAACTTTATTCTCATACTGGTGTCACTTGGAACACTTGAACCAGTTTTGGCATAGACTTTTATGTGGTGAATAACTGAGGGCTGAACAGCAATGAGATTTTAAATCAGGGCCATGCAGTTTCTCTTTCTTAAAGTATGGAGTATTTCTTGGTGCAGTCACTATCTGAACTTGAATCCATTTGAATTTTGCTGTCTTAGACTTCTTGTTCTGAAGTTGCTTGCAAACATTGAAGTGTTTCTGTTCTTTAAACCTGAAGTGCTTGGGATTAAAAGTTATTTATATAATTCACAGTACTTGCCCATTTTCAATTATTGAAATAACTAATTTACAATGGGTATTACTGGGAGATTTCAAGAAGACCTCACTTGAGGTGCTCAGACTTTGTACTTGGAGCACAAGTCAGGATAATATCATGTGCAATCCCTTACAGATGGCAGCTCTGAGGAATTAAACTGTTAAAATCTTAATCTGTTGAACAGGTGTAAACTTCCTTCTCCACACACACACACACATACACACACACACCCCACCCCCCAACAGTATGAAATTTAATCAACTAGGGTCAGATTTCAGAGGGATGCCAAAAGGCACATCCTTGATATGAAGTGTGCTTACTCCTCCCTCTGTCCCAGGTTTTAATCTGAAATGTGAAACACTCAGTTTAAGGTCACTGGAATCAGTTCACATGGACAAAACTTCTTTTTCCATAACCTTGTCCTTGAAAGCAGTCAAGGTATTTTTGCTGTAATATACCCAAAATAAACAAACAAAAAATTTAAAACTCATCCAATGAAGATGGCTAAGATGGAAAATTTTATCTAAAATGATTGAAGTTGGTAATGATATAAGTACCTGGAAAGAAGAACCATTAAATGGGAGGTGTCAGGGAATCTAAATAGGTTTGACTGTTATCTTTGGCTTTGAAGTATGTATTAAAACCGCTACTTTACAGCTCCCAAGGTGTTAATAAAATGCATTCATTTTCCTTCACAATTGACTGCAGACACAGTAACCTAGGCAGCAGCTCTATCACAGGTAATGGTGACTAAATATAAGTGATAAAACAGTGCCTGTGCTTTGTTTGGTCTTCTGGTTCTCTCTAAGAAGCTCAGCACTATTTCTATGCTTTGATGACCTATGGGATCCATATAAATCCTTAATGCATATGGTGAACTGAACTGAAGTACAAATGCTTAGCTAGGATGTTAAGGTGGCCAGAGGATGGAGAAGTACAGGGCACAGGTAGAGCAATCAAAATTGCCTGCTGTTGTCACTGAAGGCCACTAATAAGAAGAAATCCTATGCACTAGTGATAATTATCTTGAATAGATTCATATCTCTGGGTTTTCAGGCATCCTTTGGCCTAAGATATGACATAGAGGGTTAAATGGCAGTGAGATCAATGGAAGTGGTCAGTGCTATAGAATCACTGAGTTTTAACTATTGCTCATGCTAAAACTCTCAGTTCTGCAGCTACTTCTGCCTAAATTCAGTTTTCTCAGGCTTTGAGCACCTTTTGAATGGTTCGTTCCAAAAATTCTGTAAGAATAAATTTAATTCTAAAGTTTTTAAATAAATAATGTTAACCCATCCCCACCCCCCTATTATTTACAAGAAAAAGAAAATCAGTTCTAGTCTAAGTTACTTTTAAAATTGTTTTATTTGAGGAACTCGTGGATATGTGAAATTATCATTTGCTCACAACATGTGCTAATACAATTAAATCAGAGCATCCAAACGTAAATGCATTGCTCTTTTAGAGTTCAGAGGATATTCACATTGGCTCCAGTTCCCTAAGACAAGACCCATACAGTTTTTGCTTTCCCTCAGCACAGTTGATATCTCAAAAGTACTGAACAGGCTTCATTTTTGCTTCTTTTTGGAATTTTTTTTTTCTTTTGGCATGGTCATCTGTAGATATGGTGGTTCCATTACCTTTTTGAGAAACAAAACAAAGATACTGAATTTTAAACACCAGTCTGTTTCCTTTGTTAATAAAACAAACAGCCCAAGTAAAAGATTTTCTAAACTCTGTAGGAATAATTTCTGTCTCCATGAAAAATGGTTGAAAAATCAGGTGCTGTAACTCAGTATTAACATTTCCTGTGTCACCTCCCTCCACGAACTGCTGGGCAGAAACAATCCCTGAAGTGTGTAAATAGCAGCTAAGATTTCTGACAGCTGTAGAGAATTCATTTTCATCCCAGGATAATTTGTTGGAACTATAGAAAAATTACCATACTTGCAAAATGATGCCATTATTAAACTATTTAAACCCTGTATAATTTACCTGCTAATTTAGTTCTAGTAAAAACAATTTAGTATATTTTTTATACCAAAACTGTAGGCCCTGAAGACATCAGGAGGTAGGGAAAGTCCAATTTGCCCAATGCTTGTGGTTTGCTCTCCACCAATGTTCTATCACAGGGATCCCAAAATCATTTGAGTAGACTGCATTCAACTCCAATGCAGACAGTGTTTCATGATCTCACTTACCACATGATCACTGAGACCATTTCACATACCCTGTCATCATATAACATTCTCTGGAAGGAATGATTTGTTTATATGGGAAAGATCTTATGTATTTTAAGGGTTATTTTTTTTTTTCATGTGATATAACAGAGGAAAACAAAGATAACAGTAAATTTTCAAAGAGAAATACAAACAGGCACCAAGTAGCCCTTTAGAAATACCTTTCCTAGCTTCAATACCATCAGAAACATTTACTTTGGATTTTGGGACATTTGAGATCAGATCTCCCCTTTGCAGCAAGAAATCTGAGAGTGGCATATACAGTCGTGCCAATAGCTGGTAGTTCAGCACGCTGTTTCTGACAGGGACCTCTATCAGCTGTCTTAGAAAATGTTTCCGAATCAACTAGCCACAGCAATGTTTTCCTTAACCCATATTTGTTAGATGTTGATCTGTCTTGAAGCCTAACTCCCCCCACAAACTCCTTTGGGCTTTTAGAAATGCTTATTTTGGATGTTCTTCTTACCCACACATGTCCAAGATTTTTTTGAGTTCTTCTGGACTCTTGACCTAAATCATATTTCATGGCATGAATCCCAGACTGATTACATGTTCTTGCTAATTGTTTCATTCATAGTCCATTCCCCACACCACAACTGGGAAGCAAAGTTTAGGTTAAGAAGTTAGCTATGTATGCCAGAGCTGCACTGTTGGATTTTTTTAATGTAAAAGATTGTTGCCTGCTTTGCACTAGCATTGCAAGTATCTAATACTTAATATTTGGTTTATGTCACTTGATTTAAAAGAAAAGTTTTTCATTTATCATCATTGCAGAAATCCCCTCTATTTTAATAGCTTTGAAACCTTCTGGCGAGAGTCCAAAATTTTGCACCCACTCTGAATCTCTTAAGTCTACCGAACTGAAGTAATGTTCTAAGCTACAAATTAAATAACTACTGGTAAATATCTACAGCATAGTTAATCAATATATATATAAGATTTTATTGTGCCTTTGGCCTGAAGATTTTTACAAATGCTAGTTTTGAATCTTTCTGCTTAGCAAATGTTGAATAACACTGAATTGGTATGATAGTAATTTACACTACATCTGCATTCTTTAATGTAATACAAATATGATGCAGAGTACAGAATGTGATTACTGTAGTCATCTGTATCCACATATTTATTTCCTATTTGATTTGGAGACTGATGCTGCCTCTATATCCACAGAATGTAAACTGCTTATAATGTCACTGCTCTACTTGTAGGGGTCATGGGGACATTTGCAGTAGAGACACCAAGACCTGTGTGACATTTCCTTAGTGATGCATGAACAGGTAGATTTTCAGGGATGAAAAGTGCAATTGGAACATACCCGCAACTCAGAGTGGCCATGCAGCTGCAGAAAATACTAATTTCTGGACTACTCATCTGACAGGGTCTGCCTTCTGTAGTTTCTGACTGCTTTTTCCAGCTCCACCTTCCCTGGCTCACCCATTTTTCAAATTTATCCCCCTCTAAAATAAGCCCATTTAAACATTTTGTAAAGCCAGAGATGAGTGGGTTAACCTGAATGTTTCAAGGAAGTTTCATTTTCTCATACTTGGTTCTGTTTGTTTTTCCAGCTTTAATTTTTCAAAAGGGCTTCAAGATGAAAACATTAAGAGATTATCTTAATGCTTGCAAATTATCTAACACAACATATTAGACTCAATATTTTTGTCAGAATTAAGAAGCAAGATATTTTTCAGACACTACAATGCACCACCATTGTCTGTGCCTACTGAATAATATGCAATTTAAGAATTGTGTAAGGAGAGTAGTGTGTATCCCTTTTTTTTGTTAATTATTCATCTGGATGGTGATTCCATTCAAAACTGTATATAAAAAGATGCCATCATAGCTTTGCTAATTAGTCTTAGTCTGAGTAGAGTTTCAGTGTTTGGAATACCCTCCTATTAAGTTGGCCATATGTTATAACATGACATCTGTTCGTGTGCAGAGTACCCTGTACTGGCTGTGCAACCCAGGGTCTGCACTCTGCAAGTGTGAATTCTCACCTCGTACACCTGAGGTATTTCAGAGAGACAAGGAAAGGACCAAGAGAAAATGCTGGCCACATAACATTGACCCAGGGCATCCCAGATAAATGGTCCTCAAATAGAGAGGGCACCCTCAAAGCAAAAGGGAAGAATGAATGCCATGACAGAGACAAGGCCATTGTGCTCACACTAGTACAGAGCCCATCCTTCCTTTCACAAAACAGGATCTGACGCCGGATTGTGAATCATAGTGAATGTTGCCCATAGCCAGCTCTAGACCTGACCTGGAGTCTGCATTCACTGGGCTTGGGTGTGGAAAGAGCTAACGTGGAAGTGGTTATCCTCTCCTAAGACTGCTCAACTTGACTTTCTTGGCTGCTTCCTTTTCTCCTACGAGGTCTTATTTTGTGTGATCTTTTCTTCACTAAGTTTGTGTCACCTTTCATGCAGAGAGAGAAGGAAAGGGGAATGCAGACATGACTAGATAGCTAAGGTTGCAGACACACACCCCCCTGCAGGACTGAGGACTGACAGCTGTGCTACCAGTGTGTCTGGAAAACAACACATCCATGTGGACTGAGGTAAAAGGAGCTGGCATCAGCATTTCAGTGTAAGAGATAGAAGGAAGCTCTTCCTCACTATACTGGGACAGGAACCTGAGGTCTATATGGAAAGGAAGGTGGTAATGTGACTACAAAGTTTAAAGGGAATAGTTTCCTAATAAGAAAAAAAGGAAACACTCATCCTGAGGTGTGATTCTTTTCATCTATGTTGGTGGTTGCAATAAAGTATTTAAATTATTGGATGCGATGTTTTAAGTAGTGGATATTGTAAAACTGCCCAAAGAAAGTATTAATGCTGCCTGAATTTCTGCCCTTCAGTTTTGCATTACGCACTGCTGAAATGCAGACAATTACATCAAAATGATTCAATAAAGGCTCTTGGAAGGAGCCAAGCTTGGAAAAAAGATATGCTGCATCTCAAACAGTCTCAGATAATTCACCTTCAAAGCAACTCAGAACTGTATGAATAGTGGGCAGCTCCCTCCAAACTAGGATAATAGTGTACAGGTTTGGACAATAGAAGGAGGAGAGTGAATCAGGGGTGAGGCAAATGCTAGGCTAAATATATTGTAAGAGAATGGGAGACTGATTCAAACCACTGTATATTTTTTCCAGTTATATCAATAGTACCAAGATTACATAGAATTTGTTTTGCTTCAAATATTTATTTTTCCTCAAAAGATGTTTGTATTAGTATAGCATTTAGGAAATATGCCTGTTTGATCTCCAGAGCACTAAAGAGGTTTACTCCCAGCACAAATGCGTCAAGGGCAGCAAAAGATCAAAATGTTTTATAATGACATACTTATGGTCTACTTAGGATCCGTTGTCCTTTTTTTGACAAATACTCTGTTTTTCATGTAATCCTTTTGAAGTCATGGGGCTATCCATTGTTTCAGGGATTCAAAATCTGACAACAGGAGATTTCCTTCTAAGGGGAAAATGCTGATTATTTGTTCCACCCTTGTTATTTTGGATAGAATACCTCACAGCCATGCTAACTGTGATGACTCTTGTTTTCATGATGTTGAAACTGTTGGCCAAAGCCTTCACCTGCGTAATTCAGTATTTGATTTTTCATCTGGAGGAAGGAGAGGAAGGAAGAAAGGGCAGTCTGATTTTCTTTAGCTGAAGAGTTTTTTTTCACAAATAATAACAAGTGTATTAGCTTAAGAGTTAAAAAATAATTAGAGATTTATGTTACTTTCAGAATTCTTTTATAGTATGTGTTGTTAAAAGCAAAGAAGGCTTGATATGGCCAATGCACAAAATTAGTCTATGCTTGATGTAAACATATGTGGTATCAGTAGGAATTCTTTTTATATACAGAAGGATAAGCAAATCTCTCCGTTTATATATTCTAGGAAAACATTTATTTGCTGAGTACATGCTGAGCATCTTTCCTGCCTTTTCTCAGAATAGACTCTTGTCTCCCTGTGGTTAGCCAAACTGAATACATAGTTCATGTAGTTTAAGGATTACTTAATTTAACAAAATTCTTTCCTTTGTAGTTTTCATTTGTGTTGCTGGCACATCACTCCAATGGCCGGATGTGCATTACTAATACAGTGTTTTTCATTTTGATTTTGCCAGCTTCATCTGATTCATATGTGCAGCACTGGATTGTTACTGAGCCTGTACATATAGAAGGAAATTATTTTTCTTCCTTTCTTATTAATAAAGAGAGTCCTGATGGGAATAGCACCAAAATAGTTTAGTAGAAGCAGAGATAGAGTAGAATCTGGTCAAAAACCCCAAATTCTGTCTTTTCAATTTAGCTCCAGATAGTGGAACTGGCTGGCTGACAGGAGCTGCAAAGCTTTGCCAGCAAGCTTGTATCTCCTAAGGTAAATGGCAAGGCAAGATCTACACGATTAAGAGTGGCAGCAGCAACATGTGGGTGAAGGTTTTCTTGACCATTTCCATGATGAAGTTTATTAATTGACGTCAAAACAATTTGTGTATCAGTAGTTACAGATTGCTACATTAACAAATCATAGAATCATTGAGTTTGGAAGAGACTTGTAAGATGATCATATTCAACTGCCAACCCAGCACTGACACTGTAATGCCCAAACCACGAAACCACATCACCCAGCACCACATCCAGACTCCTCTTAAACACCTCCAAGGTTGGTGAAGGAACAAGCAGTGTGGAATAATAACTGCACATAACCTCTTAAAGTTACAAAGGTTTATTATCAGAAAAACAATGTACCTGGAACCCAAGTCTAAACCTCAAATATTCATCTTCCTCTATCTTACTCCTTGCCTTTAGCTCCTCTGCCCCCAAACAACTAAGTTCTGTATATATCAGGACTTTAACCCAGAAAAATGTTTATGACAC